AGCAGCAGAAGTCTCTGGAGTGTTAATGTGTAGGGGCATGGGGAGATGAGGAGTGGTGGGAAAGGATCATTTTGAATTTCAAAAATATCACTCCGATTTCAGTTTACAGCTGAAGTGGAGTACACAAGATGTTCAATTGGGCAGCAAGAAAAGTATTTGAGCTTCTATTAACATATTATATTAACAACTTAAGCTTTACTGATATTTAACCCAAGGGTTCACTTAGCCTGCATATCAGGTGGTTGTATGTTGCTTAGGGTAGTGGAGATAAACGATGGAAAGTATGAGTATTCCACAGTGTTGACTGATTGGGGAACCCTCACCCATTTATTTGCTTATGCATGCCAGGTTAAGTGTACTTATAGACATAATGCTAGTTTAACTGAAATAATCTTTGTAAAATGAACACAATCTTTAAAGGACTCCTGTAAAAAAAAAATGTGGACTGAAGTTAATAGTAACATCATAAGGCTTAGTGATCAAGAAATCACCCTGGGTTTCTGACTTGCGCGACTCCTGTCACTGAAATGAGATGACCAGCTTTGGTGTGTTGTGGAGGAGAGAGGGCAGGGGTCCATGGCTTTGGTTTGGACCATGTTAGGCTCAAAGAAGTGCTGTTGAATATGGATGTCAGGCATTTCACAGATGTCTAGCCTAAATGTTTGAGTCATCTCAGTAAAGGTGTTAATTTAGGTTATAGGGACTTTAATGAAATCTTAACTTGAAACATCAAAATTTCAACTTTTGAAATCTTCATATCTCTGTGATCTATCTTCTCTTATTGTCAATAATTAGAATTGTATATTTACTCTGATGTTTATAAAGTTATCCTTTCTAAAGTAAAGCAAGTCTGTTTCCATTCTGGGGTCTTATAAGAGGAGCTCATAATATTGTTTTTTATGAGTAAATGTATTAACCACTTTTTATATGGGTGCTTGTTTAAAAGAGGCATTTGAAACCAACTGTTTCACTTTTAAAAGTATGAAAATTTCAAACATACAGAAAAGTAAATTAGATATATACCTATTCACCCACCAGACATATTTGGTAGGTTTATATTTTGCCATATTTGCTCCAGATTTTTAAAAAAGAAGTAAAACATTATAAAAATAAAAACATATCTACCCTCATCTCTTCTCCTCTCTCTTCCCAGAGGTAACCATTAAGTCTACATCTTAAGTGCAACAATCTAATGAATGTTTTTAAGGAATAATAGACTCAAGTTAGCTGTATCAACAAGGATAAATCTTAAACATAAATGGCAAGGGGAAAAAAGGAAGTCCCAAGTTATTTTAGCATTTCACATAGTTGAATGAAAATAATATTTAACTGCAGTAGAATTGCTAAGGCTAATCAAAATATCAAATTGCTTTACTCTTGGTTGGAATTTTTTTCAACCCCTGTGGTGTTATGTTTATATCAACAATAATGATAAGCTAGAGATTATTTTAAAATTGCAGTTTGTTTGGTAGAAATCTGTTAAAACATGAACTTCATTAAGGGGAAAGAATCATTTTAAGAGGACCTTGTGATGAGAAAACTGGAATCATTTCTGGTTTAGGACATATGCATGATTACTTAATATTTCAGTCACTAACTATGGTCAATTCTATAAATTTGAGGCCATAATTTGTGCCAACCTCTGTGGTTATAGAGTCTAGACCAGTGATGGCGAACCTATGTCACGCGTGTCAGAGGTGACACGCGAACTCATTTTTTTGGTTAATTTTTCTTTGTTAAGTGGCATTTAAATATATAAAATAAATATCAAAAATATAAATCTTTGTTTTACTATGGTTGCAAATATCAAAAAATTTCTGTATGTGACATGGCACCAGAGTTAAGTTAGGGTTTTTCAAAATGCTGACACGCTGAGCTCAGAAGTTTCGCCATCACTGGTCTAGACCTTGCTCTTCAGCATTTCAAAGTTGTGGAGCAAAGATATAAGCAAATTGCAAAACAGCATGATAAGCACTTTCATAACCACCCGGAATGTTCAAAGTTCCAGAGGAGAGAGGATAGTATCTGATTCTACCTAGTGGATTTGTTCCAAAGGTTCTGTCACCGATATGACCAACAACATTCTTTGGCCTAGAGAACAGTTCACACACATAATTACAAATTGCAATGCTCTTTTTTCAACTGGTCTTTGAGGCACAGAGAAGAGCCCTGCACTGGACATAAAATGCTGTTTTCCTTCAAAGTAGGGCTTAGACATTGTCCCTTCAGCTTCATGTTATAGATAAGTAAGTAGATGAACTCTCAGATTTTGTGTAAACAAAGTGAATAATTTTCATATAAGTTTATTTGCCTTCATAAAGAAATAAAGACCCAAAGAAACAGTTAAGGCTGAGTACTTTTATGCTCAGTTTGAGGAAGAATGCAGTCATGGAGAAATATAATAAGGTAGTAAAGTGGGTAAAACTTAGCAAGGCCTGTTTGTTCAGATTCTTGGCAGTGTCCCTCAGTTTTGAAGATAAGGATGGTCCTTCCTACAGGGTAGGAGGAGCATCTCTCGCTCTAACTGGTTTGGCTCAGTGGATAGAGTGTCGGCCTGTGGACTGAAGGATCCCAGGTTCGATTCCAGTCAAGGGCAGATGCCTGGGTTGCGTGCTCAATACCCAGTAGGGGGCATGCAGGAGGCAGTCGGTCAGTGATTCTCTCTCATCATTGATGTTTCTATCTCTCTCTCCCTTCCTATCTCTGAAATCAATAAAAATATATTTAAAAAAAAAAAAGAAAGAGCATCTCTCACATGAGGGTTTTATGACCAACTTCAGGGGAGAAGGGTGGTAGGAGGTCAGAGAAACCTTTCTGCTCCTGCCATTTTCTCAAATTCTTTCAGCTTAAAATATTCAATATGCCAAGGTGCTATATTTTGGGGTAGCCTATCCTGAATGTCACCAATGCTAATTGCTCATTTCTTGAACCCTCTCTTCTCTTGATATATATGAGATTGTCTTTTCTTGCTACCCCATACATGTCCATGTTCCCTAAGGTTTCATCGTCCAACATTCTCTAACTTCAGTTGGGCACTTTCCTCCTTGACCTCAATTGATATGACTTCAGATATCACCAATGTGTGAATGACACCCAAATATCTATTTCCAGAGCAAATAATCCCTTTTGTTCTCTGATTCAAATCCCCTCTTAGATATCCCACAGGCAAATAAAATTCAACTTGTCCAAAATTAAACCCCCTATCTTCTCCCCCACAACTCACCCATCCTCACTCCCCCAAATAATTCCAACTCCTAATTAGACTCCTGATGTCTTTCATACATTCACATTTCTCCTTCCCCACTGTCACAGACTTAATTCAGCCACCACTTTCTCACCTGAATTACTCAGCAGCCTTGAGCTTCTCCCAGGCCCGGCGTTGAGCCTTCCTATTCATCCCATAGACTGAAGCCAGGGATTAGATGACCCCCCTTTCTTTCAGACTAACACATACTCACCTCTATTGCAGTATCAATGATACTAACCCCGCCCCCCGCAAAAAAAACACACACGCGCGCACACACTTATACCCACGTTTTATAAATTTCACACAAAAAAGATGTTTTGTTTTTCCAATTTATTTTTGTATCCCTACTGTCCAGCTAATTGCTTCATACACTGTAGGTCCTTTAATATTTGAATGGATGGATTTGAGTGGACTTAATTTTTAAAACTTATAGATTATCCCTACTTCATCCTTAGCTGAGATAACAGTTTGTAATTTGGCTTTGCAGTGCTGCAGAGGTTGTTATTAGTCCAAGCTGACAATCAGGCTCATGAGTCAAAAACATGCTTTAATCTAACACTATGTTTGCTCAGCTTTGTGGAGGGAAACAGGACAGGAGACACAGTAGGTACAGTCTCCACCTCTCACTCAATCTCACCCACAGCTCGTAGGGCTGCCACAGAGCAGGAAGTGTGTGTGGTCATAGGCCACAGTGAAGCTGCCCTTCACTTTCCACCTGTCTTCTAAATGTTCATCACATCTGCCTAAAGCCCGCCTACCCACTCAGGCCTCCAGGCCAGGAGAAAGAGGAAAGTCATGCACCAAGGAGCATGAATCATAATAATGAAAACTGCATATTGATTTATCAAAAAATGAAGCTGAAGCTATACCGGAAGAGGAGAGGGTCACTTCGTGTCATTTGAGGAGCAAGGGGGCAGGGTTTAGAAATAGGGAATTGACCGCTAGAATATAAATTGAACAAAATTGCATTAAATCAATGTTATTTCCAAATATGGCAGGAAACACCAAGAAAAGAAGTTGAAAGTGTTTTTTCTGAAGAGTAATTATCAGGGGAAGGAAGCAGGAGAAGGTTGTTCTTTGTAAATTACAATCCTTGTGAAATACATGGCTTCTTAAACCATGAATCTGCATAGTTTTGAAATAAAATTTTGGTTTAAAAAGTAGAAGAAATACGACTGCTTTATCTTCAGAAATTCAAATTTAATTTATGGGTAATAACAAATCAATATGTCTTGGATGGTCGACCTAAGAAAGTAAGTATAAAACAAGTTTAAATTTCCTGCTGGCACATACAGGGTGGGGAAGAAGTAGGTTTGCAGTTGTTCATAAGAGAAATAGTACAGTAATTAATAAATAAAGCAAGAATAAACTTTGTTTCATGGTCTTACAACTGTAAACCTGTTTGCCCTACCCTGGACTAAAGGCATAATACTTCATAGCGAGCAATACTATTAGAATACACTGTGAGATGTGGCATTCCCATCTTTTTTTTTTTCTAATATATTTTTATTGATTTCAGAGGGGAAGGGAGAAGAAGAGAGAGATAGAAACATCCATAATGAGAGAGAATCGTTGATCGGCTGCCTCCCACATGTTCCACACCAGAGATCAAGCCTACAACCCCGGCATGTGCCATGACTGGGAATCGAACCACAACCTCCTGGTTCATAGGTTGATGCTCAACTACTGAGCTACACCGAATATCATTTTGGTGTGTTTTTGTTTTTGTTTTTTGTTTGTTTGTTTGTTTGTTTGTTTTTGTTTTTTTGTTTTTTTAGAGACGGGGTCTCGCTATGCTGCCCAGGCTGGAGTGCAGTGGCTATTCACAGGCGCGATCCCACTACTGATCAGCACGGGAGCTTTGACCTGCTCCGTCTCCGCCCTGGGCCGGTTCCCCCCTCCTTAGGCAACCTGGTGGCCCCCCGCTCCCAGGAGGTCACCATATTGATGCCGAACTTAGTGCGGACGCCCGATCTCCGCATAGCGCACGACAGCCCAGAACTCCTGGGCTCAAGCGATCTTCCAGCCTCAGCCTCCCGAGTAGCTGGGACTACAGGCGTGCGCCACCGCACCCGGCCGAATATCATCTTGAATACCATCACGGTATAACTGTTCTGCCAAAATTAAATGGTTCAGCTAGCTGCAGACTCCTACTTGCCCCCAGCAGTCCTCCTCCTGGCCGGCCACATGCACCAATTTAGATGTGAGCAGAAAATGAAAATGTTCATCATTCATTGTCATGATGGCGTGTTTGCCACAATTGTTCCAATTCAACCTCCCAGGTATAGCATTGAGAACTAGCAGGGTGCTGGCATTTACTTAACTCTGCTGTAGATGCCAAGCAGAACTTTGGCATCATAAGAGCCCTAGATATATTGCTGAGGACTTTCTGCTGTACCACCCTGGTCAGTTTTAAATGGTTGCAAACTACAGATATTTTGGAGACATTATCGATTTTAAGGTGCTTAGAACTCAAAGATCTATTGCTGAATTATTAATGACTGGCATTTTATAGAGACAAGGTAGTCTTATAAATGTATCAGCACTCTGCGTGGGGGTGGGAGAATGTGTAGCCTCCGCCTGTCCTTTGTTATCAATGTATTTTCATGTGGCTGGTGATAATTGAGCCAAAGCAAATAGGAAGCCTTGGACATAACAACAAAAAACAAAGAGCAATCTGTTTCCTTTCACAAGCCAGGGCCACCCATATCACTCAACTTATAAGAGGGAGTCACATTCATTTTACATTTTTATTTGGATTCAGCTGTAATTACTGGGCAGTGAACTAATGAAATAGAGCCCATTAAGGGAGGACAGATCCCTAGGAGTCGGCTATTTATCTTGTTGCCATAGGAAAGAACTCTCTGCTAGGGGAAAGAATCAGGACCATCCTGGGTACTTCCAGCAAGTTTTCAGTTACCTGGACTTGTAAATGGAAGTCTTTTCCATATGGGAATCAAAGACGACAGTGCCATTTTGTTGTTTTAAGTCATGAAAAATTGAATATCTTAAGTTTCAACATGGGGACAGAAGAGAAGTTTTAAAATCTTCCATATAATACCTCTGGAATACACAAGATATTGATAATCGTGGTTGCCTCTAAGGAGGATTGGGTGGGTGGAGGTTAAGAATGATAGGGTTTGGGCCTAGTAATAGGAGGTTAGGGGTCTTTCTTCTTACTACACAACTCTTGAATTTTACACCATATGCATAAATTACCATTTTTAAAAAACTAACTTTTAGAAACACTGTGTGTGAGTGTATATCTATAGTCTTGTCATCTTAATTGCTCTTGCTCAGACATCGGTGTTGCCCGTTAGACCAGCAATCACAATACTTTCTGTTCAAGAATATTCTGTAAAACTTAGGTTCTACATTAATATATTCCATGTTTTTTCTTTTGAGTACATCACAGCTTCTCCCTACCTTCCTTTGGTTTCTGGGGTGTGTGTGTGTGTGTGTGTGTGTGTGTGTGTGTGTATGTGTTCACAGCTGGAAGCTGAATTATTAGGCTCCCTGAAAGTCCATCTAGTTTCATTTCTTTGGGGGATATCAGGTGTGCCATGTCCATTAGCCATCAAGTAAGAGAAAAGGAATGTAGAAAAGAGAGTGGTAATATTTATTTATTTTTATTAAAAATTCAGCATTTGAAAACACATTATTATTACACAGAGTATCCTTATTTTTTTATTTCTTTATTGATTAAGGTATTACATATGTGTCCTTATCCCCTCAATACCCCCCGCCCCAACCCACCAGAGTGGTAATATTTAAATGGTGCTATAGAGAGTGTCAATGTAAGAAATGTTTAAACCTGTAGAGAGTTTTTATGAGTTTGTATGAGCCGGACAGATGACAATTGCCCGGAAGTAAAATCTCAACAGATTGAGAAAATGCTGCCAAAAATGGCAGTTTTACCACTTACTTTATACATCAGATTCAAAGGGCATTACGTAAGCGTGTTACATGAAATTCGTTGGTGATAGATTAGGGAGGTGGGAGAAAGCAAAACTGGGGGTAAATAGACGCATACTTCTTTTACATTTGTGTGGGTATAGGATAGTTAACAGTCAACAGTTAATACAATAACAATAACAGTGAGGGGATCTGTGGTCTGTGCTCTGATGTGTGGTTGTGCCCTGAGGGGTGAGGTGGGCGATTACTCTGATATTCTGAAGGTATACTATCCTAGATGCAAAAAGACAATACACAGGCTCAGTAAGGTAAAGACTGGCCTTTCTCAGGGAAGATACTAGCCTAGGACATGACTACTTGCTATGACCTGCTTTTAGTTAGGAAGCTTCAATTTCAGACCATCCTATTAAGTCTCTGAGTTTGTAAGGCCTGCAGGCCTCCCCTGAGCTTGTCAGGTTTATACGTGGCCCCTTTTTCATCCACTTTTTCATCCTTAAAGAGCCTAAAGTTGTAGTTGTAGCTGCAATAATGTCTAAAATAACAGTTAATTCGCACTTTTTAATCTATTGATTAAAAATATGTTTATATTTTCCTTACTTGGTCATCACAAAACTGCTCACAGTCCCCCTTCCAGCACCTCTGTGCTTTTAGTTAGGAAGCTTCAATTTCAGACCATCCTATTAAGTCTCTGAGTTTGTAAGGCCTGCAGGCCTCCCCTGAGCTTGTCAGGTTTATACGTGGCCCCTTTTTCATCCATTTTTTCATCCTTAAAGACCCTAAAGTTGTAGTTGTATCTGCAATAATGTCTAAAATAAAAGTTAATTTGCACTTTTTAATCTATTGATTAAAAATATGTTTATATTTTCCTTACTTGGTCATCACAAAACTGCTCACAGTCCCCCTTCCAGCACCTCTGAGGCCTCATCCCTTTTATTTACCTGTATTTAAATAATTCACTCTCTAAAGCATTAGGGTCGGATTATGTTAAAATGTAAAATGTGAGTGAGCCGAGAACACTACCAAGCAAGTCTGATAGTAGGATTTTATTCTTCTCACACAGAATTTCAAACTTTTAAAGTTCTAAATTTTTAATACCAAACTTAAACTAATTTTCAAAAATAGAAGCAACTGAAATTGATACTTGTTCTCTATTTTTCTAGCTAAGTTTGTATAAATTAGACTGTGTTTACGTGATTCCTAGCAGCTGGCTTTAAAAAATAAAAAAAATGGAGAGCTGGCTATCAGGTATCAAAATTATTTTGACTAAATTTTAGTGAATTTTTTGTTTTGCGAGTTGTTTGTAAATAAATGAAGTAGTAAATTCAGGAAGTCCAAGTTTGTGTGAACATATAAATGTTGAGAATTTTTTCATGTGTATAAACTTGAATAACTATCTACAAAAACTGAAATATTTTAAACTCTTAAATATGGAGCACTGTGGAAAAACAGTGTGGTTCCTATTTTAGGTAATTATGACCCACAGTTATTAGTGTTTTTCCTCTCAGTTCTGTCTCGTGTCCTGGGTTGAGCACTTACCTCCCATGTATTCCATGAATCCGGAGCGTGCGCCTTCTACTTCCAGGGCAGACTCGCTCCCACGGCACTTATGTCACTTGCCTGGGATCCTCTTTTCTGCTTTTGAGCCATGAAGGGTTTCATCTTTCTCTTCCCTAGTTGGCTTCTCTGTTCTGCCAGTGCTCACTGGACTAGCTGAGGACTTTTGTTTGTTGTGTTTGGCCTAGCAGGGATTCTCTAGGGGTCTTTTATTCTTCCTTTCCCCTTCTCTCCATTTCCCTTTCCTTTCATCCCACCCAGCCCCCCCTCTTCTGCCCTCCCCACCTCCCCGCCTCAATGGGCAGCTGGTTTTGCTCTTCTGATTTATGCCTGAGGTAAAGCAGCTGCCTTTTAAAGATAAGAACCAGAGAGCAGAGATATCAAACTGACACGAGAATAACAGAGGAAAGACAAAAGGCCCCTTTCCCTAAAAATAGCTTTGTCATTAGTTTTTGTTTTTGGTTTTTTTTTTATGTTGAACACCGAGATTTATTTCCCCTTGTTCCTCTGTTTGAACAAACCAGTCAGTCAAACTACCTCCACCTGAAGAAAAATGAAAAGTAAGTCCTTGACTCCAAGCTGCTTTTACCAAAGTAATATGAGGATGTGAAAAGTGGCTAATTTGAATCCTCTTTGTTTTTAGTAACTGTTAAAATGGCAGTACCTCCATGAAAATGAATTGTTTGGGGGCCAAAAAGAAAGTATCTCTCTATATAAAAGCCTAAGCGACCTAACGACTGGTCGCTTTGATGCTCACTGACCACCAGGGGGTAGACACTCAACGCAGGAGCTGCCCCCTAGTGGTCAGTGGGCTCCCACAGCAGGAGTGCTTCTCAGTTGACCGATCTGTCCTGGTGGCAGCCACTCACTCCCTCAGTAGTCCTGCAGGTCCAATCTCCAGAGAATGGGCCAGGCACCATGGCTGCTTCCCCTCCATAGACGCTCCGCAAGGAAGAAACGATATAAAAGTGGCTGCCATGAACAACATAAACTGATGAAGAAAAACAGATCCAGAGACAGAGAAGCATTGATCAGATGCTCAAACCTCAGAGGGAAGGTAGGGGAGGGTGGGGGCAAGGGGGAGAGATTAACCAAAGGACTTGTATGCATGCATATAAGCCTAACCAATGGACACAGACACCAGGGGCTTGAGGGCATGAATGGAGTGGGGTGGGGGGAGCAATGAGGGGATAAGGACACATATGTAATACCTTAATCAATAAAGAAAAAAAAAAAGCAGCCACCAGGTGGCTCCCGACAACAGGCATGAACATCAGTGGTACGGATCCGGATCCTGGACCAGCAAGGGTGTCCCACAGCCTGCCTGGAAGACCGATCAAGTCCCGGCCCCCACCTACCCACCTCGAGACGGGTGCCAGACACAGGGCTCATGGCTGGCGAGCGCTGCTGTGGCGGCGCAAGTCTCTCCTGATCAGGACTGACTGGGCGCAAGCCCTCGGCAGGCACAGGAGGGCCGGGATGAGCGGGAGTGGCAGGCAGGAGCAGCAGGTGGCTTTGGACTGCCAGTTTCGGCCCAATTCCTGCTGGCCACACCGAGGGACCCCACCTGTGCACGAATTCTGCACCAGGCCTCTAGTAGGAGGATAAAAAGACAAATCAGAAGAAAATGGAACTATGAACACCAAAGAAAATTGGAAGCAAAGTAAAGTAAGCTAACAATTATGAAGCAAGTGTAATACATAGATTATATTGATAAAGTTAACTCATATATTGGGACCCACAAAAAGAAGGCCATCCCAATGGCCTGGCCAAGTCATACCAGGTAAATCTAAACTCCATCAGACTACACTTACAGGAAATCCAACCTACACCAATCACAATCCTCCCCCTCAGTTCAGCCAGCTGACCTTCCTCTAGAACAGCGGTCGCCAACCTTCGGACCTCACGGACCACCAGTGGCCCGCAGACCACCAGTTGGCAACCACTGCCCTAGAAAACAGGACCTGCTAGCCTTACAAAGTAATCCCCGGCCTCCTCGCCAATCGTGCTGTTCCCTTAGTGCCTCTTCTAAGGCTCTACAAAACGTTCCTTCCCCAAATCCCTCAGGAACAGGGCTGCACTGCTGGTGAGGCGCCACAATCCATTGATTACTTTCCCTTGAATAAAGGACATAAAACCTGTTTCTAAATTATTTAGTTTTGTCATTTGACAACATATGTATGTTTATATGTGTGTATGCTATATGTATATTTATATACACACACACACACACGTGTGTGTGTGCACGCATGTGTGTGATGCATATTTGGGCATAGAGGAATAAGATAGTGATGGACAACTCCATTCACTGAGATCAATAAAGAAAAGAAAAAAAGCAGCCACCAGGTGGCTCCCGACAACAGGCGCAAACATCAGTGGTATGGATCCGGATCCCGGGCCAGCAAGGGTGTCCCACCGCCTGCCTGGAAGGCCAATTGCATCCCGCCCCGCCCCCCTCCCGCCCCACCCACCTCTGGACGCACGAGATGCAGGGCTCATGGCTGGTGAGTGCGAGCCCAAGGCAGGCACAGGGGACCGAAATGAGCGGGAGTGGCAGGCAGGAGCAGCAGGCGGCTTTGGACTGCCGGTTTCGGCCCAATTCCTGCTGGCCACACCGAGGGACCCTTTTATGTTGAACACTGAGATTTATTTCCCCTTGTCCCTCTTTTTGAACAAACCAGTCACTCAAACTACCTCCCCCTGAAGAAAAATGAAAAGTAAGTCCTTGACTCCAAGCTGCTTTTACCAAAGTAATATGAGGATGTGAAAAGTGGCTAATTTGAATCCTCTTTGTTTTTAGTAACTGTTAAAATGGCAGTACCTCCATGAAAATGAATTGTTTGGGGGCCAAAAAGAAAGTATCTCTCTATATAAAAGCCTAAGCGACCTAACGACTGGTCGCTTTGATGCTCACTGACCACCAGGGGGTAGACACTCAACGCAGGAGCTGCCCCCTAGTGGTC